TATCAATCACATACAAACAAGCAAAACGATAATTTATGTCAAACAGACAACATATAGCATCAATATCCCGGTCATTCAATCCATAATCAATAAAACAGTAAAATATGCACACGAAACTATAAAATGAAAACATCGAACCTCATGCTGCATTTAAAACTGTAAAACAGGCCAAATAACAGTTAACCGACAAACACACTAGACTCGGGCTCCATTAGCGACCTTAAGCAATTTCACACATTTGTTGATTCATGAAAAACCGTTTTATCATTTATTGGACTTTAAAACCGTGATAGGAAATAGGGTGAGGGGTCCTTACTCGTTTCGGGGTCCGAACACGGCTTCACAGTGCGCTTGCACGCTGTCCCTAATTTTCCCTGAATTTTCTTCAGGGAACTGAAACGCACTACTGGTACCTGCACATGTTCCAAAAAAAATCCCAAATTAGGCCCAGGGCCCCTTTCGGCCCAAATCGCAACTCCGGCACGGCGGCTCCGCCGTGCTCCGGCGACGGCGCCGCCGCCAGCGACGGCGAGTCGCCTCAGGTTGGCTGTTTTCGGCCGTTTCCGGCCGAATTCGGCCACACTCGCATCGGTCCCTGTGAGAAAACAACCCTAGGGCCCTCGGGGGGCCAAAAAATCACGGAAAAACGGAGCTTACTGGCGGCGGCGCTCTCGGGTGCGGCGGCTCTCCGGCGAGGTTCGTGTTTTGGTGATTCGGCTCCGGTCAACCTGTAGAGAAAAGAATGGTGATCACGGTGATATAAAAATTGCATCAAACGGAGGTCGGGAAGGGCCTCATCGGAGGCAAAAACCGAGAAGGGGCGCGGCGGCGCCGCTGGGCTTCGGCCGTGTATTCCGGTCGTTTGGCCAGAATTTTGGCTCCAATTTAGCCACAGGAGGAATCAGCGTGGAAAAACGAGTCGGGGGTACGAAATTTACCTCGATCGGCGGTCGGAAGTTCCTCCGGTGCGGCGGCGGCCGGCTTCTGGTTCGTCTTCTCCGGCGAGCGGCAGGCGGCTAGGGTTTGTGGTCTGGTGTGGGGGTTCTATTTATAACCCCTTTCCTTTTGATCTCAGCCGTCTATTTTGTTTTAATCTGGGCCGTCCGTGCATTTAAATCTGGACCGTCCGATCGCCCGCTTGATCTGGGCCGTCCGATCACGCCCACGCAGATCGCCAACGTGGCCCTTTTTGAAACGACGTGGTTTTGCCACGTGGCAGGTCCCGGTTGGCCGGGACTGCTGACCCGGCCTGCTGACGTGGCTGCTGATGTGGCTTTTTTTTTTTTTTTCCTTCCTCCTTTCCGGGCGCTACATATATAATAATATATTAAAAACTGAACAGACCAAAATTATTCTGTTGGTTTGATTTTGATTAATTTGATAAAATTCGATGGATTAATATAATTTAGTCTTTTTTTTTTTTTGATTCTGAAAATTTTTAATCCGAACAACCAAACTGATTGAATACAAAATCTTAAGTTCTCAAGCTCTTCTCATTCATTAAACATTAGATTTCGTGTACATGTAGCATAAAATGAAGAACTCAAAAACTATTGCATTGGCGTTTAATCTTCTCGTATTTCTATATTAAAATTATTAAAATTAATACTTTAATGAAAATTAAAATTGAAAAAGAAATTGGAATTAAAAATTAAAAATAAAAAATAATAAGTATTAATATTGGAATATTTTTTCTAGGATCTAAAAAAAGGATTAATCATATAATAAAAATCACCGGTGGTAAAAAATAAAAATAAAAATAAAAGATTAATAACGTTTTGTAATATTTTAGAAGATAAAGGAAAAAGCTGAAACAAAAAAGATTGGACTGAAAGGTAGTCAGTAATTTAAAAACAAAATTAATAATTTGTCCTAATTTTTAATATAATTTCTTTGAAGTTTTATAGCCACATATAGTCGTGAAAAGCTATCTAAATTTATCCTCTAAAAAAATAAAAAGCTGGCTAAATTTGCTTACCTTGAAAAACCCATATATATACACTATATGTACAATTTTTTTAATTTTTAACAAGAAATATATAAACAAATCCCATATATATATATATATATATTATATTGACAGTTTTTTATTTTTATTTTTTTACCAAAAAATATTTTAAAAGTTGGGTTAAGAAATGATAACAGCCTGAGTTTACTAAATTTGAATTCGAATATAATAAGAACTCATGATAGGTTTAAATTTTTTTTATTCATTTAAAAGTGTATTAGTTTTAATAAATTATTTTATTGTACTAATATTAATATAAATATATTTATATTAAAAATTTAAAACATATATTGATATATAATACTATGTACTATTTATAATGATAAAACATTTAAAATATATATATAAATATATATATATATATATACACATAACATATCAGTTCAGATGAGTATAAGAAAATTAAATATGAACTTGGCCTCGACCTACTTGTTTTTTATTGGTGGCTCGAACATGATCTGACTCCAATCCAAATTTGAAAGTAAAAAAATTGTGTCAAGTTGAATTAAGTAAATTTGTTAAAAATATTTAATTATCATATAAAAAAGCCTGTTGGAGGAAATCATCTTGTCAAAAACGCAAACATTACCACCTTGATCTTCCTCGTTTTAGAAAACATAAAACAAAAGAACAGCGTCGAATGACGATGAGTTGACTCTTCAGCTCCACTCAAGAAAGAAACAGAAAAAGAAAAAGACTGATCTTGTCTACGAGACACCAATAATTTTCTTTTTGTTTACATACATACACACACACACACACACACACGCTTTATGAAGAGTTTGACAGAAGTCAATGAGGTCATTAAGCTAGCGTAATTTTACGTAATCACGAACGCTAAGGAGGCTGCCTATAAATGGAGCTAACCAGGGAAAGTATTTCAGCAAAACATCTCTAACTCAACAATGGCATCCACATGTTTACTTCTGCTGCTCACATTCTTCTTCTTCTTCTTCGTCTTTCCAGCAGACGCAGAAAGTCCTCGACAGGTTGTCTGAGAATTCTCATTACAAATATATGTACAATATTACATACAATATGTAAAGACAGGTTGGTTAATTATATGTACGTGTCACAGGTCTATATTGTCTATACAGATGGTGTGTCTGCTGGTAAGTATGCAACCAGCTCCGCTCATTTGGAAATTCTTGAGCAAGTTCTTGAGGACAGGTATTACGTAAAAACGATTAATTAATTGCGATTTACTTTGTTAATTGCTAATTTGAAGAAATAATTTTGGCAAATTTCATGGGTTTGAATAAAATTGTCGCAGTAATGAGGCTTCGGAATCTCATATTTATAGCTACAACGAGATATTCACTGGATTTGCAGCTAGACTAACCAATGCAGAGAAACAAAAGCTGGCCAGTAAGCATATATATATATATATATATATATCATATATAATTTAAGTTTAACAATTGGAATTTGATAATATAAGTCGAGCATATGTATCAATGATCACATAATAAGCTCTGGAGTTACAGCTACGCTCTTTGTCTTTTGCTATCATTGGAACAGAAATCTTCACTCTGTTTTTCCTCTGTTTTTACAGAGTACTGAACATTCTTCCCACTACAAAATATAAATATATATATATATGAATTGCAGGTGCGCAGAATGTTGTGGCTGTTTTGCCAGGCAGAAAATTTCAACTTCAGACTACTAGATCATGGGATTTTCTGGGGTTGTCCACCACTGTAAAACGGATTTCCCAGGTTGAAAGTAATCTGATTGTTGGAGTTTTAGACAGCGGAATCTGGCCAGGATTAGAGAGTTTCCGAGATGATGGATTAGGTCCTCCTCCAAAAAAATGGAAGGGGGTCTGCCACAACATAACCTGCAACAAGTAATTCTTACAAACGCAAATTATCCATTTCTCAAGCATGACTTAATTATCATATTACTGCAACTAAAGTAAAATTAATACAGAAAGAGAGAACTTAAAGAAATTTTACGATAATGGGCGATCAGAAACCTATTTTTGGACTGTAAATTCTCTGAATATGAGCTACGAATCGAGAGTTTCTTGTTGACGAAAATTGCAGCAAAATAATAGGAGGAAGGTCGTACTACACCGGAGACCAACCTCTTGCTGAGGAAAGATCTGTGATTGATACTGATGGACATGGGACACATACAGCCTCAACTGTTGCAGGCATGGAGGTGGGGAATGCAAGTTTTTTTGGATTGGCAGAAGGAACTGCCAGAGGTGGAGTTCCTTCGGCCAGGATAGCAGCCTACAAGGTTTGCTGGAAGACAATTGCAGGAGCCACATGTGAAGAACAAGATCTTCTGGCGGCTTTCGAGGATGCTATCAAGGATGGAGTTGACATGTTATCAGTTTCCATAGGTTCAAATGAGACTAAAGAATACCCTATTGATGGCCTTGCAGTAGGATCTTTTCGAGCAATGAAGAAGGGGATACTGACATCTGCGGCAGCAGGGAATTATGGGCCACATCCTTCTACAGTCACAAATGGTGCACCATGGATTTTGACAGTTGGAGCTAGCAGCATGGATAGAAAGCTTCTGGCGAAGCTTGAGCTCGGAAATGGGCAAACGTTCATGGTAATTAGTTAACTTCTATTTCATGGTTGGTACTTCTCTTCCTCAATAAAAGATTATGTCTTAGAGTCACGCTATGTTTAATGTTTATAACATTCTGAACCAGGGAGATTCAATCAATTTCTTCCCAACTCAAAGATCTTTCTATACAATTCAGCTAGGAGAAGATGACAATAAAAAAATTTTGATTAACAATTCAACAAAAAGAAAGAATGTGGTTCTTAAATCAATCAAATCGGTACTGCTTGCAATTAAAGTTGGTGCCCGAGGAGTAATCTGGGATGCAGAAGAAGTATTCGTAAACCAAGCATGCCAACTTCCTCTACCCGGTGCCTGTCTGAATACAAGTGCAATTAACAAAGTGAAGAAATATGTGATTAAAACCAAGTAAGAACCCCTAATATATGTAAATATAGCATGTCTTGAATCATATATTATGTAATTTTCCCCCACAAACAAATAAAAGAGAGCTCTTGGTATATGTTTGATTTGAACAGAAATCCAGTGGGGAAAATATATAAAAGCATAAGCGTTCATGATCCAACAGCTCCCTTAGTAGCCTCCTTCTCTGGCAGAGGACCAGTTAAAGTTACTCCAAACATTCTTAAGGTAATATACAGTTCATATATGCTTAAAATTAGAACAGAATATCTACCAAGGACAGATTTCATCTGCATCAAGAGTATATTTGGTTTAATCTACACATAATTAATGAATCCTAATACATTAACATTTGCTTTTTGCAGCCAGACATTACTGCTCCAGGGGTTGATATCTTGGCTGCATATTCTCTGAAAGCACCTTCAACAGATTTCCCAGATGAAAAACGCCATGCACCATTCAAAATCATCTCAGGAACTTCCATGGCATGCCCTCATGCAACAGGAGCTGCTCTTTATGTTAAAACATTTCACCCTTCATGGTCTCCTTCTGTCATTAAATCTGCTTTAATGACAACAGGTAATTCACACATGTTCTTCTAAAACTTAAGAAGGATCACTGCAGGTTTGATCAAATTAGACTTTACCTGTGGATGGATTATACATGTCAAATGAATTAATTCTTTGGGTTCCAAAAAGGACTCAAGTTGCTTATGACCAGTAATTTGAGTTTAGAGGAAACAATTCTTCGGGTCAACATGTTATTATTGTAGGGAGGAAATTTGAGCTTAAGATGTTATAAATGGTATTAGAGCATGTGCTAGCTTGCCAGTCAGTCTCTCTAGTAACTTTTTGATCTTTTTTCAGCAACTCCCATGAGCGCTAAAGAAAACCCAGATGCTGAATTTTCTTACGGATCCGGCCACATAAATCCATTGAAAGCACTTAATCCAGGCCTGGTTTATAACACAACAGAGATAGACTATGTAAACTTCTTGTGCAGTGAACTTCCTACCAAAGTGGTGAAGCTCATTTCTGGAGATGATGTCGTCAACTGCTCAAACAGTATCAATGCTTACGAGATGAACTACCCTACAATGTCTGCAAATGTAGAACCAAAGAAGCCTTTTACTGTGAAATTTCCGAGGAGAGTGACAAATTTAGGACAGCCTAATTCAGTTTACAAAGCGACTGTCCAGTCACCTTCTGGTGTCAGGGTGAGCGTTAATCCGGAAGTCTTGGCATTCAAATCCCTGGAGCAGGAATTGAAATTCCAAGTGAGAGTCTCTGGTGGGAAACTTGAAGCTGGTGAAAAGGTCTCTGCCTCACTTGTGTGGTCAGATGGAAAGCAGAGTGTTAGAAGTCCTATATTTATATATGCCTAATATTATTCAACCAGTTGTAATAATATTATGGGTGATTTGTAAGGGTGATATGTGCGTAAACACTTGATGGAAAAAAAAAAAAAAAAAAGCTTAATAGGTAAATCGTCCACCATCGGACGATAACAAGTATATAATAAAATCTGGTTCCCCTGCATTATTGTCCTCATCCTACAAATATCCAACAGTGAGACATTATAATTTCAATAAATATATATTTTTTTAATATCATATCATAAAACAATATATGGATATTAAGGTCAAGTTTAATCAAAAAATTTAATTTAATTTCATTTAATCAGAAGCAAAAGTAACATTTTAATTTCAAATTGATTCCATATTCAATTCCTACAGAACCATAAAAGAAGGAAATTATCTCTATCACCCTCCAATTTTCAGTACTATTCTCCCTATTTTCTAGCCACCTTAATTGAATTTTCTGCAAACTCCAAAAGTAAAAGATGCAGACATATGTATCTACGCGTACAGAAACCAGAAGATAATTGATTTGGCGTTTGTAATACTGATTTTTGTTTTTTTATTAATTTTTTATACTTTTAATTTAAATCTGGTTCCATATGTTAAAATTTAAAATTACGTGCAGATATTGGGGTCATGAGTGGAGCAGTAATATCCATCAAACAAATGCTCAAAATCACATCGGCTTAGATGGAGATCTTAGTTGGTATTCTTAACTTGTGCTCATTGGTTGGTTTGCTTTTATCCGACAAGATCTCTGATCTCATCGGCCGGCTTTACACCGTCGTCCTCAACGTTCCTGGTAGGCGCAATCCTGATGGGATTCGCACCCTCGCTTTCGTTCCTCATGATTGGAAGAATAGTTGCGGGCATCGCGCTGATGATAGGTCTCGTTTACGTGGCCGAGTGCTTTCTCCGGCTATGTCTCGTGGCTTGCTGTTGTCGTTACAGGAGATCTTCGTCACCACTGGAAGAAGAAGGGCAGGGGAGTGCTTTGGAGATTTTGGGAAATTAGGGTTTCGTAGTGATATTAATAATTTTCTTATGATATTAAAAAAATAATAATAATAGTACGGATTCACAACTTGAAAAAGAAAAAAACTATTAAAATCCCCGAAGCCTAATTTTTTCTAATTCCCCAAAGCAACTGCTAATATAGTATTTTGCTTATTAGCTTAAATAAAACCCAGAAAATTAATCACCCCACCCAAAATTTTTGGACATTATAGACGACTTTAAAGCAGAGGCCCTACTCATAAAGATAGTGTTCTGAATTTTTATATCCAAATTTATAGCTAGCTTAATTAATTAAAATATCTAGTACTGTAAACACGATAAGAAGAATTATAAATAGCAGCTAACAAGAAGAAATGCAAGACAAACATCAAGTTTACAATGGCAAGTTTTCTTACCTGTAGCTTGCTTTTGCTGCTAATGTTCTCGTTTTCCTTCCATACAGAGTCAAAGAATTCTCGCCGGGTGAGATTAATGCTAGTGATGAGCAACTTCTACTCTATGTATTGTGTATAATTATATGTATGCATTAGATTTGATTAATACCTATTTGAGGTTATGTATATAGGTCTACCTTGTCCATATGAAAGGTGGCTCTGCTGATAAATATGCAACAAGGTCTTCTCATTTTGAAGTTCTTGAGGAAGTTCTTGACGGGGACAGGTAGCTGTATTATATATGTTTTAGACTCTTAATCAATTAGATTTGTTTATTGTGATGACTTATTGATTATATTATTTATAATAGTAAGTTTCTACCAATAAAATTTGCAAGAGCAGCACAGTTTCGGAATCACATGTTTATAGCTACAAAGAAGTCTTCACCGGGTTCGCAGCCAGACTCACCGAACAAGAAAAGGAAAACTTGGCAAGTAAGCATGTTACAGACATATTAACACTTGAATTTGGTAGCTGTTCCTGTTCTGGTTTAAATTTATTTTGTATATACTAAGTACATCAAGTCTTTGTTTAATATACATTTAAAGTAAATAGTCTTGATTAATTTTTCTCGATTAGATGACTAGTACTTTCTCTTTTATTTATGAAGTGTGGATTCGAGTTGGATTATACGTATTATATGTTATCATTCGTAGCTAAGTCTCTTTATTTACCAGAGCCAAAATAATTTGCAGGAATGGACAATGTAGTGGCTGTTTTCCCTAGCAGAAGCTTCCAGCTTCAGACAACCAGATCATGGGACTTCTTAGGATTCCCAACCACTATAAAACGACTACCTGAGCGCGAGAGCAACCTGATTGTAGGTGTCTTTGACACCGGAATTTGGCCGGAATCTGAGAGTTTCAAAGATGAAGGGTTTGGTCCTCCTCCTAGGAAATGGAAGGGAATCTGCCAAAACATAACTTGTAACAAGTAAAAGTCAACCAAACTTACAAAGATGTGCATCCAGTTTCCAATTTAAAAATTTTCTGTTCTTTAGCATATTTTATCAAAGATTAACATAAGTTTTCAATATCTCATAATCTTCCTGTAAAAGGTAACCCAATTTTGTGAGAAAATTGCAGCAAACTCATAGGAGCCAGGTTCTACTACACTGGAGATATAGCTCTGGCTGAGGAAAGATCAGTGCTTGACATTAATGGACATGGAACTCATACAGCTTCCACTGTAGCAGGAATGGAGGTGGAAAATGCAAATTTCTTTGGACTTGCAAAAGGGACAGCTAGAGGTGCAGTTCCTTCAGCTAGGATTGCAGCATACAAGGTTTGCTGGAAAACAATTACTCATGACACATGTGAAGAACAGGATTTTCTAGCGGCTTTCGAGGATGCAATCAATGATGGAGTGGACATGATGTCGATTTCAATTGGTTCGAATGAGACCCAGCCGTATGTTAAGGACACACTTGCTATAGGAGCTTTTCGAGCCATGAAAAGGGGCATATTGACATCTGCTGCTGCAGGAAATTTTGGTCCTACTCCATCAACAGTCACCAATGGAGCACCCTGGATTTTGACTGTTGCAGCAAGCACAATTGATAGGAAACTAGTGGCCAAGGTGGAGCTTGGAAATGGACGAACATTCATGGTAGTCTGACAATATGTCAAATTTTTGGAATAATTTATATCAATTATTTAACATGGTATCAGAACCTAATATTTAGAATTATATTTGGATGCTAAAGCTCACAACCATGATTTGAATTAGGGAAATACCATCAATGGCTTCCCCACACAAGAATCTTTTTTCCCGATTCAATTGGGAGAAGACGGCAATCACAACCATCTCATTGACAATTCAACAAAAGGAAAGAATATATTTGCCCATGCAACACTTACAGTGATTCTTGCAGATGATGTTGGTGCTCAAGGAGTAATTTGGAGCAATGATGCATTTATATTTCAATCATGCCCACTTCCTCTACCTGGTGCCTGCATGTCCACAAGGGATGGTGAACAAGTAAAGAATTATACAGAAGAAACCAAGTAAGAAGAGATTAGAAAACTTGTGTTGAATATCTTTTTTATTAGAAATTAGAAGAAAAGAAAAGAATTTTGTTGGTATGAGAAATTTTTTATTTGAAACAGAAATCCAACAGGAAAAATACATCAAAGCATAGGCATTCATGATCCAAAAGCTCCCATTGTAGCTGACTTCTCAAGTAGGGGACCTGTTAAAATTAGTCCAGACATTCTTAAGGTACAGGGTATCTATATATATATATATACATTTTCTTTAAACCCATGATTAATTTCGTTTTAATGAACTTTCTTGAACATTACATATACAAATATTTGTAGCCAGATATTACTGCTCCAGGAGTTGATATCTTGGCAGCATATTCCCTGAGAGCAAATCCAACACCTTTCCCAAATGACAAACGCCACTCACCATTCAATATCATCTCTGGAACTTCCATGGCATGCCCTCATGCAACTGGAGTTGCCCTCTATCTCAAGACATTTTACCCTTCATGGTCTCCTTCTGCCATTAAATCTGCCCTAATGACAACTGGTATTACCCTCTCCAACCAAGAACAATTCATATATATATATATATATATATATATTATATCTTTTGATGAGTTGATCAATTTTTCTTTTCCAGCATCTCCCATTAGTTCTAAAGAAAACCCAGATGCTGAATTTTCTTATGGATCCGGACACATAAATCCACTCAAAGCACTTAATCCTGGCCTAGTTTACATGACAGAAGAGAATGATTACATAAACTTCTTGTGCAACATTCTGAGCGATGAAGAAGTAGAGGCCATATCTGGAGAAAAAGTCAACTGTTTAAACAGTAGTACATCTGCAAAGGACCTTAACTACCCTTCAATGTCCGTTAAAGTGGCGCCATTGAAACCCTTTAGTGTCGTGTTTCCAAGGACTGTCACAAATGTAGGGGAAGCTAATTCCACCTACACAGCAAGTATCCAGTCACCTTCTAATTATAAGCTGAATATCAGTGTTGAACCAAATGTGTTGACATTCAAATCTTTGGATGAAAAACTTGGGTTCAAAGTGAAAGTCTCCGGTGGACCACTTGAGGTTGGTGACAAGATCTCTGCTTCAGTTGTTTGGTTAGATGGAAAACACAGTGTAAGGAGCCCTGTTTTCATATATGCCTAAATAAATTTCAAAAGAGTGCTTCTGGTTGGTGATTATGAAATTAATCATATTTGTAAAACTACTTTTAGTTATCAATAAATTATATGTATTATAAAATTGAGAGGTAGTCCCGTAATTAAAATTCATTACCTAATTTTTAGAATATAGAAATTAGCACATTAAAGACTTGTTCTGTCTTTTACCCAGGGGAGGAATCAGGGGAAGCTGCAGCCACTCCTCCTCTCCCCTCTCCAAAGTTTATTATTGCATTTATGTTGTATAAGAAATATTGATTTTTGTAGTTGAATATAAGATTCCTTTTCTATCCACTTTTAAAAAAATAAATAAATAAATTAAAATAAATATTTTTTTTTTTTTCTAAAGGATAAGTCTAAATAGACAAATGACATCATATTTTTACTGTAGAATTGATGACTTAAATAAAAAAAATATATATTTATTATTAATAATAAAAATAATAAATATTTTTTTAATAAATTTTATATTTTATGAGTATTTGTTAAATTATATATATATTATTTATAAATCAGATTATAAATGACAAGATTTATAAATAAAAATATATTATAAAAAATAGCAAATATTTTTAAAATAAGTTTTATATCATAGAAGTGCTTTTTAAAATTATATATACATTATTTATAAATTTTAGTAAACAACAAAAAGGTCTAGAGCATTTGTAATAACATTTAGAGTAAAATATAAAATAAAAAGATAATTAACATAAAACTTCAAATAATTTAGATAAAAAATTAAATAGGAATTTAAATAATCAATTTACTTGAAAACCCTACAATTGACTAAATTTCTACATTAACTCTAATAATTAGCACCGTCGTTTTCGTTCCTCGTGATTGGAAGAATAGTTGCAAGCATTAGAGTCGGTTACTCGCTGATGATAGGTCTCGTTTAGGTGGTCGAGCTTTCTCCGACTATGTCCAGTGGCTTGCTATTGACGTTCCAAGAGATCTTCGTCATCATGAGTGTAAAGGCCCAAAGCTCTATAAGGGATTTCGAGTGTATAACTCAATAATAGTAAAACAATAGTAGTTAAATTTATTATTTAGCGGAAGCAATTAAAGTTTTAAGGTTATATTCCTTGTACGTTTACTTAAAATATCGAATAGGGTTATGAGAATGTTTTTAAAACTTAAATTGGGGGGGAGGGGGAGGGAACATAAAAAGAAAACAAATACGGTTAACCTCTACTCGACACTGATGAGGTGAAATAGGTAATTTCTTAACTGATTTTTTACTATTCGGGATCCGGATCTTAGTCATCTTGATCTGAAATGGTTAATAAGAAATGGGTGAGTTACACTAATTCAGTAAGAATATCAACGTCTCACCAGTGATAAAGAAAATCAAAGGGTTGTAGAAAATATAAAATAACCAATGAAGTCCATTCGTAATAAAACTAGAATGCTAGTGTATTCATTATTCGTTTCACTGAAAACATTAATATTTTTTCAACTAACATGTAACTTCTCAAATGTCATATATTAAAATAAAAACTAGAATAACAATCTAACAATATACACACTAAAAGACGTATAACATTTGACTCTTCGCTATTTTTCGAAAGTCGAATCCTTACTATGTCTAACATTACTCTTTCATTTTAGCTTTCCCTACCGGTGTCACTAGGGGTCCATAAGGATTATCACTACACATGGATATAAATACTTTCTTTATAATCAAATGACTGTTCCCATAATACCCCATCTAGTAACGGGCGCCACAACTAGAAACTGCCTCAATACCCTGTCCGGTTTGAGTGATACTTATAAACTCACCTTACTCGGTATGGGACTTTTCAACCCCTTACGACTAAAGGTAACATCTACGGTAGGGTTCACCCTATGTACTAAGTTCGTACACATTTTTTGATGACACCCAGTAAGCCCTTTAATTCAATAATGTTGGTTTACGCATGCATAGTTTCCATTATTATCTAGCCATCAATAATGTGTAAGACTCATATTTTGCAAATACAAGAAAACAAAATCCATGCTTCAATACTTGTTAAGAGATAAAACTGTAAATAAAGATGGGGTATAATATCATAATAGAATAGGGACATCATGCGTT